CATTGATATAACCAGGAATGATGAAGAAGTGAATACAATCACCAATGGGACACTGAGGGGAAGGAAATAAAAGTTAAGGAAGTCCTTGCAGCACATGAGACACTGCGGATTCGGCCCTGTGATCCAAGAGCCCTTTCTAACTTTCTTCACAGGTTAGGCTCTCGCAACTCAACAGCGGTAAGACCAGCTCTAATTATCTGGACAGCTCATCAAAATGTTCTCCTCTGACTTGAATTATCTGCTATACTTTTAACTCTTCTCCACAGATGTTTTCTACTTTGAAAACTAGGGACCTGAGCCTGACACATAAGCAAATGGTGTGAAGCTGTGGTTCTCTTTCTCTCTCTATTTAAGTATAATCCATGAAAAATTACAACTGTATTTGCCAAGATCTGAAGTAGAAAAATCAATGAGCTCATCATATTTGCATATAATTTGGTCTTTCACTTATGCTCATATCATCAGCATTTTATTGGGTTGGCCCAAAACTTCGTGCAGGCTTGGAAAAACCCAAACGAACTTCTGGGCCAACCCAATATTTACCTATACTCCGCAATTTCCTTCCAGGAATAAAGTAAACATCTTGATGTTCATCACATAATTTATTTTGTAATTTATGAAATATTACATAAAGTTATCCTTGAGTCAAGATTATACACCAAATTTCTGTAGGCAGATTGGTTCCACCCAAAGAGCATCTTCTTTTGTCTAAAACTCCTACTTGTCCATTCTCCAACTTCATCTCTAGCCTCTAAGTTCCTGCCACAGTTATCACCTGAGTATCACCTACATACATATCTTCAGCACATTCTTATAGTCCAAGACCAATTTTTAATAATCAAATATAAATCTACTCCAGATAACTATTGTTATTCCAAATAACACACTTCGGAACACTTTTTGACTCTAAGTGAACAGCTTTTACCTGTGGGCCAATCTGAAGTGCTTGATTTTCTGTTGCCCTTTTTCCTGACTCTATATTGCTCAGAGTAGTCCACCACCTCCCCTCGAGGTTTCCGCCCATCAGGGGAAGGGGTAAAGAATTTGGTAAGGCCATCGATGAGCCCTTTGGTTTTCTTATTGAACTTCAAGGGGACGCTGCCATCTCTGCAGAAGTCCAAGCCATCTATTTGCTCTAGATATCCGTCTTCTGATGATGATGCTGACTGGCTGGAGAGAGTGATTTTACGTTTCCGACCCCTTCCAGGGCCTGTTCGAACTTTGCTGAAGGGACCTTTTGACCTAAAGAATCAAACAGGGAAAAGGGCAACTATTAAAAAGAAATCCTTATATGGTTTCTATTTAATATATAACACACAGTAAATAACCTAAAACTATATTTTAAAAATCTATATTGTTAAGAACATTCCATAAACTGTAAATATTATATGACTAAAAAGTAATGTTATTAGAAACATCTATTTCTGGGAAGCCTATTCATTTTATAGAGAAAAGAATCCTAGGCCAGGAGTCAGAGGGCATATCTGAGTCATAATTCTGCCACTTACTAGCTGCACATCTTGGACAAATCACATTCTCTTTAAACAACAGTGTCTTCATCTATATAATGAGAGTTGTACCAGAGAAAAACTAAGACCTTTCCAGGTATGAAGTCCAAGGATCTCTGCACCAACTCAGAGTTATACTCTTACCTCTAAACATAAGGATGGGTTACTCTCTGCAAGTCAGGAATCAAAAGATCTTTTTACAGGAAAGTTAAAGCTTGATTTAAGATTTAAAATATGAACTACAATACTGGTTCTATGTATTTCAAGCTGCTAATGCCCACTCATTTCAGCTATACCACCTTCCTCTTAAGTGTACAAAGGGTGGGTAAATTTTGTGAGAGGTTGACAGGCCTGAAGATAGTTTATATATCATCAAAGGTGAATTACTGTAAAGATACTCCAAAGAAAAGAGAAAATTAGTTACTTAATCTTGCCCCACCTCCTCCAAACCTAGCCCAGTTTTCTAGTCCACAAGAGATAATTATATCCCTGATTTCTGCTAACAAATGAAAATTCACATTATTTTACTTCAGGACACAGAAATGGGACTTAGCTATGACCTCAATAGGAGAAGCTATCCAGCAATCTGTACATATAACAGAAATAAACTACTGAGATTACATCAAGAGAAGAATCTGTGAAATGCTTCAATAACGTAATTTTTTCTTCCTTGTTTTTTAGGTAAAAGAAGCAATCTAAGGTAACGGTTTAGAGCCAGACCTTGGGGCCAGCCTATTGGGGTTTTAAGCTCAGCTGAACACTTACTATAAACTATGCAAGTTAATCGTTCTAGACTGCAGTTTCCTCCTTTGAAAAAGGAGAGTACCAACAGTACCTACTTCACTGGGCTGGTGGGAAAATTAAATGATTTAACACACATCAAGCACTTAGAACAGTGAGTGCCTTGGTCCTTTATTAAGGGCTCAGTAAGAGTTAGCCATTATTATTACATAAAAGTGGCAGCTGTAACAACTGCGTGTCTTTTCGCAGAGCAAACAAGTGAACCCTGTGCTACAGAGAAGACCCTACGCTCTTCTCCCCTCACCTTGCCACAAGTACAACTTACACCGTGTTTTGTTTCTTTAACCTGTTTTTTGGACGTCCTATTGGATTAGCATAGCGCCGTTTTATCTGTGCCGCCTTCTTCTGTAGAAGTTTTCGTCCTTTTTTCCTAGGTCGACATATCTGACATATCCACATGCCTACAAAGAAAGAAAATTCCACATAAAAGCACAATGGACATAAATACGATGAAAGAGTTCAGATACTCTAAGCCAGGAGTTCTTAACCTCTTTCAGGTCAAGGACTCTCATTTGAAAATCTGATAAACCCCCCCAGAAAAATAAACATGAAAACATACACACACAAAATTCTACAAACAACTGGAAGAGACTCACAAATATCCTGAAGGCCACACATGGCTGAAGTCCACTGATCCTCACTTTATACCCAGAACCCACATACGGGCTTCTAATTACTGTTCTGCAAGAAAAGAAGCCAGGTTCCCATAGAGGAATGGCTGAGTCCAGGACTGGAGCTGGGAAAATACAAGATAACCTGGAACAGCTTGTGGTGCCAGGAAATAAAGAAGAGCTCAACAGATGATGAAGGCACGTGAAAAGGACCCAGAAGCCAACGTGAAGGAACTCCCAACAGCCAGATCTGGGTCAATCCAGAAAAAAAGGAATAATCACAGCAAGGGACTATAAGCCATAGAATAAAATAAATATCCATGAGTCCATAAATGATTTGAATAGCTGAATAAATAAATAAGTGGGAGAAAGGGATCACTCTTACTTTTTTATTTTTGGTGTGTTTTGTTGTTTTTACATGTCCATTTATTAAACAAGAACTCCTTCATGACAATTTAATACAGTATTTATTAACGATTAGTGTTGAGAAAATTATTTCCCCTACATATAAAAATACAGATTTGAACACTATGAAAACAATGAGGACAAGTACTGTGAAAAACTGGTTCTTCAAAAGAAATAAAGGGGGAAAACTGAGGGCAGCACGAGGCTTTGTCTGCTGTCAGGGACAAACCAACAGGAGCAAAGGCTTTGGGGTCCCCAAGCCACTCCAAATGGATAGAGTCAAACCTGGGACCCCGTGGGAGCCAGGTGGTGCCCACCCCAGGGCATCCATATCGGCTTCAGAATCCAGGATGGGAGCTCTGACAGCAAAAACCAAAGTCTGCGAAACAGGCATCACCTCAGATCATCCCACAGCTGGGGATCACTCTTTCTTATAGCAGAATTGCAGTTAGTAAATGTAGACGAAATGATGGAAATAGAAAAATCATCACTATGCAGACAAACACCACAGTAAAAAGTGGTGCATGCACGAATCAATGACTGATGCTAAAGGAGATACAAAGCAGAAAAAGAGTAACTTTAAGGTGTCTGTCAAGTTTCTCCACTATAATCAAGTGATCCAAGTTAACACCACTAGTAATAAGACACACCAGTATAATATACCCCTGTTGTGACACACTAAGGGGGCACAAAATCACTTCTCTAGTATTCTTGTCAAACTGCATAGCCTCAATCTAATCACGATAAAGCAAGAGACAAACCCAAAACGAAGGACTTTCTACAAAATACTTGGCCAGTATTCTTCAAAAGTGTCAAGGTCAGGAAAGATAAATCTGAGGAACTGACTGGAAGAGAGTAAGGAAATATGACAACTAAATGTAATGTGACATCCTGGATTGGATTCTCAGGACCAGAAATTCAAATAAGGTCTGTAGATTAATCACATCAGATCAATGTTAGTTTCCTGGTTTCAATAACTGTAAGATGTTAACATTAGGGGAAGCTGAGTAAAGGGTACAATGAGAACTCTCTGTACTATTTGTACTACGTTTCTGTAAATCTGAAATTATTTCAAAATAAAATGTTGCCTGCTTTATGTTTCCATAAAACTTCTTTTGTAGGCATTAAAAACACAGGAATGAAGTCCTAAGAAAATCTTTACTATCTTGAAGGATTCTCAGAAGGCCTTTTGTCCACATTTCAAGTAAATGGAAGAGGTAGGAAATGGGGGATACTTATTCTTCCAATACATATAAATGTAGGCTCTTCAAAAGGTGACAATCAATAGTGGCACAGAGGGACTCAAGTAAAATCCTAAAGTGGAATAACTTGGCTGTAACTAAAGTTGAGTCCCTTTCCATCAACAGGAAAAAGTTCTTCAAACAGACGCATCAAGTATCCCATAAGCATTTTACTTAAGAAACCTATAAATCACAAAATCCGAGTTGAAAATGGAATTTATGGTAAGACAAAGCAGGGAAGACTAATGATTTTTTTTTTTTTTAAGAAACTATAAGCATAGGATAAGATGGAAATCCAACCAACAGGCAACTGTATCCCAACTAAATACCTTTCAAGGAACAGGAGTCAAAAGAATAGAATAATATTAAGCTGTATTCTTCTGATTTGGGCACTTGTTTGTTTGCAAAATGTTATAAAATTTTTAAGGTTTTTGATAAATCAGAGGCCCTAATAGCTTTAGGCCCCTCAAAAGTGATGAGCTGTGATATAATCAACATGATCTAACACAATTTCACTTCTTCCTTTCAAGAAATAGATATTTCAAACTATTACATAAGGAGGCAAGTATTTTGCCCTCTAGCTATAGAGCTGGCAAAAAATTATAAATGAACACCTTCACCCTCCATGGATACTTAAATAATGAAAACAGAGGAAACTAATAATAAATCCACACCACATGAGAATGTTAGGATGCCTAAACAGAAAGACTACCCCCACCTTTAAGGTGACTGCTCACTCTCTTCCTACTTATACAACACCTAATAGAAAGATGCAAACTATTCTCTCATCTTAACAAAGCAGATTTAAAAGCGCTTTCAATAACCTGCCCTTTTATATTGCCAGACTGATTTCAGAAAGTATTTCTTACCTTTTGGCATCCGGGTGAGGGGCGGATCACAACACTCCATGTGAAAACCTCGGTCACAGGAATCACAAAAGAGCATGTTATCCTAAAGGAGAGAAAGAACAGTTCGGTTCAACCTTGTGAAACATGTCAGGATCATGACTTCATGAAACCTAGGAAGCTCCTTTCCGTAAAGAAGAGTTACCATAATAATGAAAGTTCCCTTAATTTGTATTAGTTGAGTAAACGGAGAGCCTGAGTTAGCAAAAAGTTTTGCTTCATCCATCTTTAATAAAGAACTAAAGTTTCATTACTTTCAAGTTTATCCAGTAGCCAGATACAAGCTAACTTTAGTCTGTTTTAATAAAAGAAGAGAAACGGATGACTGTAATTAATATAACTGACCATCCCTAAATGAATACCTCCATATTACTCAAATAAATTTCACGAGTATTTCTTTAAAGTAGCTAGTCTCTCTGCAAACATACAATTAAGGTGCTTTAGAAACTACCTAGATATCACCCAAGTGTCAATGAGCAACTATTCTAAACTAATGATGGAGCTACTGAAGGAGCTACTGTTCTAAATTCTGCTGGACCAAGTGACTGAAAATAACCAACCATACTTAGAGGAAAATGCCAGTTGTACATTCTACTTCTAAATGAAATATTCACATTGGAAGACGAAGATACTCACTGCATTTTTGCCTTGATCTCGACAGGAGCTGCACGTTTTACACTCAATGCACTGCCACCGTAAGGCCTTCACTCTAACCGTTAGCTCGGGGGAAAACTTTAAACAGGATGGATGACCTAATAAGGGGAAAGTTCGCAAACGAAACAATGAAGAATCATTTTGTAACTGTATTAAAGGAAAGAGGTAGAAAAAGGCAATTTTCTTAAATCAAAACATCAAGGAAAACAAGAAGCCCCTGGAAGCTTGCCACACACGCCTCATCAGAACTGAGCACTCAATTCAGTTTTATGCATGCTAAATACATCACCCTCCCCAATTTGAAAATAAAAAACTTGACAAACTCCAAACTTTTATTAAGCCTGCATTAATTAAAGCACTATGTGTGTACACATACTCCCATGCATACGAATACAAAATATACCTGGGCCATTTCTGGAAGAGTAACACAAAAACTGTTTACAACTGTAACATCCTAGGATATAGAGCTATGAATATTTTGCAGGAAAAGGATTTTACATTTTACTTTATACCCTTCTGGTGCTCTCATTTTAAAAACAATAACATGAGTTACTTTTATAACTAAAAAATATATTTTTAAAATGCCATCATTTAAAAGTGAGTTAAAAAACTGTTTACAACTGTAACATCCTAGGATATAGAGCTATGAATATTTTGCAGGAAAAGGATTTTACATTTTACTTTATACCCTTCTGGTGCTCTCATTTTAAAAACAATAACATGAGTTACTTTTATAACTAAAAAATATATTTTTAAAATGCCATCATTTAAAAGTGAGTTATGGGGCTTCCCTGGTGGCGCAGTGGTTGAGAGTCCGCCTGCCAATGCAGGGGACGCAGGTTCGTGCCCCGGTCCGGGAAGATCCCACATGCCGCTGGGCCTGTGAGCCACGGCCGCTGAGCCTGCGCGTCCGGAGCCTGTGCTCCGCAACGGGCGAGACCCGTTGAGAGACCCGCGTACCGCAATCAATCAGTCAATCAATAAATAAATAAATGTGAGTTATGTGCTCATGATTTAAGGCACTCAAGCTAAAATTAAAACCTAAGCAATATTTCTATTGTGATCAAAATTAATAGTAACAGAAAAAAATGTTTCCTCTCCCAAAAATTAGTATCAGTTTGATTCTCAAAAACTCAGGGTAGGCAATTTGCTCTTAACTCTGAAAAGATTTATCCCTTTCCTCTAAAAATTGGTTATATTTATTTTTCTTCAGTGAGAAAAAGGGTTGGTTAAATTATCTTCTCTCCTCTCTCTTCTATCCCTAAATAATTTTCTCTTTTAAGAGGATAAGAAATTTATCATCAAAACACCACTAACATCCAAGGAAAATGGAAGGGGTGTAAAAAACCTCACCCATAATCT